CTGCTACATATGAAATGGTGTGAGACAACCTTTTCATGTGAAATTGAAGTTTTTGTGTGAAAATAAATATGAATTGTTCACTCTACCCCTAAAACACATTTACAGCAACTGAACTTCTGCAGTTCCCTTTCAGCCATAAACCACACTCACTAAATCTTCTCTCCCACTTCTGCTGTCTCCCTGATTTGCATATGAAAAATCTCAATGGCCAAATAACGTTATGTTACCTTGAAATCGAACTTCATTTTATTTTCCTCAATGATGTGAAACATTCTTTGAAAAGCTCTTGGTATGACACCAGGGTTTTTCAGTTCTTTGTCCCCTATCATAGTAAAAGTCTTCCCAGAACCTGTCTGCCCATAAGCAAAAATGCAGACATTGTAGCCGTCCACTGCTGACTGAATTAACCTAACAGTAAAAGAATAAAGGTTACATTCTGCTCTCTGCAATGGAAGCCTCCAGAACTATAAAGGCCCTCCGAAGGTTTCCTCTTTCCCTGGGGTACAGAAGGAGATACAGTACTGTAATACACAGAAAAAATGTTCAGTAGTACAGTACATCTACTGTATGAGGACTTCAGGCAAGGGTCATTGATATCCATCACTTGGGGTATGACTAAAATAAACGACAAAATTCGTCTTCCACTTTCCTTTGCAGTGTTCGTTTACCAGACATTTTAATCAAGTGAAGACACTTCAGAAGACACCTGGAGAAGGATCTACAGCCAAATATCTATTTTCTTTTCAGCATGAAATTGACCTTTCCTTGTTCCTTTGCGGCCTACGCATGCTGATGCAGCTACAGGGTACCTACTTGAAATTATGATAATAAGCCTACTGGTATAGTGGCCACCCCAGAAGGAAGAGCATGCAAGTAAATGGAACAATTACCACACGGGGTAGATGAGCTTCCTCTTGTTTGTAACCTTACTGTTTTATACCATATAAATTACCTGCTTGTGTCCTCGAAAATGTCCTCCTGTGTGCAGCTGCTGTTGAATACCTTATCAAACTGGAACTCTTTTAAACCCCGGGAGCTTTCTACAGTCACAGTGTAGTCATCTGGACAGTCAACAACAATCCTACTTCCACGTCCTATTTCTGATTTACTCAAAGGTCTTATGCGACAGAAGACTCTGATTTTACCTGGAAATGTATACAGCAGAATTCATATTACATTCTTTTATGCAGTCACATAATCTTTATACAACAACAGTCCCATTAACAAAAGCATTCACTATTACCTTTCATGTCTTCCACCATGTTGTAGTACTTTTTCCTCAGGACTCGTTCAGAGTTAAAATTCTCAATTAGATTTTTGTTCTCTTCTTTGACCTGTTTTAACTGTATAAAGCAGAAAACGTTAGATTTAGGTAAAGGTTCGTAACTTTCACTTATAACAGTATTCAGAAAGTAAAATTAATGAAATCCCCATCTATCCAACTATTATATGGCATAACCAAAATCTAGCCTATTACAAATGGTTTATGTAAAACATTGGGACATCTTAATATGATCTCAGGTGAGATACAGTTATTGGACAAATAATATAGGTCTCTTAAAAGAAAATATGGAATTTAGGGAAATATAAAGCTATTGACGGTTTCAGTTTATAATAAATAATGTTAGTAAGGTACACAAACTTCTAAAAGAATAGTTGTCTTTTATAAGATAGGTTATTATAAATGTATTTCATTTGTGACATTACTTTGAAAAAACATTTCTCTGCTACAACAGTATACAGTATGTATACTTGTGCTGACATTGTAGTTAGAACTAGGGACTGCCACTGATCTGGTCAGTAGTCTCTGTTTACTGTGGAGTGGAGCACAACTTTCAAAAAGACTACTGAAAGAACAAGTACAGTAAGTACTGTATATGGCTGAAATGTAATATTAAATAGGTGTAGTAACAGATCATAAAAGAAAACAGTTGGGAATATTGCAACCCACCTGAACTACTATAAATGTATTATGCTAATAGGGTATGATTTTGTAAAAAGAACCACTTAGTCATGCTGTTGTGAAAATATTCACCTCTGTCTGCAGCACCAGGAGTTTCTGTGTGATGTTTTTCATTCTGTTAGTGGTGAAACAGTCATTCACTCCCACGATTTCTTCTATACCCTAAAGCATTCAGATTGTGTGATTAAAGAGACCACAAAAAAAGACTCAAGTATGGATCCTGAAATGTATTTCGCATTTCATTTTTATCCACCAAAACACTATCATAAGACTACGGTTAATGTAGTAATTTTTAAAAAACACTTTTCTACATGACAGTTTGTAATTCATCTCAATCTATCTTCGCTAATCAATCCAACTAATTCTGATACCTTAACTATAGACATGTTAATTTGAAATAACACATGATAGCACTAGTCAAATACCTTTTGTGAATTAGCACATGACTGTATTTACAGTATAATATGAAGCACTATAGATTGAAATATGCACATACTGTAGAGTACCGTGTAATATGATAGATTGATACATGCTTTTTTTACATTTGTGGCCATCCTGACAGGGGAATTGTGTCACGATAGTTCCCCCTCCTTAAGGGTGCTCCAGCCCTTTCATTAAGACTTTA